AGGGGAAAATAGATGATTGCTAAGCTAACAGTTACGAGAACTTTGCGGTTATTTACTGACGTTGATGGAGTTTAGTTCAAATATCCATTTCAACTTCCAGCCACAGCGTGAAATAACTTGGTCTCGGTATACACTACTCACACTGCATGAATGCGCATACTGAAATCACACGTGCTAGCAAAAGGCCCAAACACATACAGTAGATGGGCAAAATCATAAAACTCAATGATTTTTGCAAGAAAATCACTCTTACGCAAACGCAGTTTACGTTGCGTCTTTCAAAGTCCTACAGAAGCACAGTAATGGTCGATCTTCAAAATAAGACATATTGCGGTTCATCAAGTAATGCTACGTTGTCTAGAAATATCAGTTTTTTAGAAAAGCGGAAATCGGACGTACTACATAAATTAAGTTTTAGAGTGAAAAAGCAGCACAGGTAGAATTTCAGATACATATGCTTCCATATTACAAGCAATTGTATGTATGGCCGGTACCGAACAGCGCAAAGTTCGAGTATGTATTCGACCATGTTTTCATGAGAACTGTCAGTTAGTTTTTCCGTTTATAAAAGGCTGGAGTTACGTTCGACTAGCGCAACCTAATTTGCGCTTGATTGCGCCGATTGAAAGGTCACAGTAGTAAGATATTTCGTGAGCTCACGTGTGGAAATGCCGGTCAGTGACTAATAAATTTAAATGTAATTGCCAGGTGCAATCGTAAAAGTACTATGTTGTGCATATCAAGAGAAAATTCCTTCCGTCATATTTCTTTGTAGTTATTTCGGGACTTCGATTGCGACGAGGTTCAGATGGCTTTTGAAATGGTGATCCATTAATAAGGATTATATTATACATGCTCATCAAAACCTACAAAATATGATATTTATTAAACATTTACCTAAGTTGTGAGTTTTGGGGCATTCTTTCTAATGCACCTGTTTGTCTGGGTCATATTTTTAGAATCGCCCAAACCTGTCGACTCATTGTTGAGAAAAATGAACGTCTGCAACATTAATCACAAACTAATATGTCTCGAATCAATTGAAAGCTTTCTATAACAACTTATCTCTTGACAAAGAGCTTTTTTTAGATAGTTGGATGTCAACTGTCTGCGAACCTTACCCTTTTCAAAGATAAAGTCAAGATAAAAATCGCAAAGTGTGACCGGGTTTTTGACTTCCCTGAGAATTATGAATAAATCTTGTGCTAAAAGTGAAAGAACTAACTGTTGTATGTACACTGGAGCAGTTTCCAGTATACATCTCTACTGCTAGGCCGCGTTCAAAGATTTCAAAACCACGTCAGAGTGGCAGAATATATATTAGGATTTTGCGAAAACTGAGAATCTTTACCCGTCCCGTTTCAAGTTTCCTTATTCGTTCATGGTGAACTACAGATTTAAATTATCTGGACATCTTTCTGTTTGATGGAGAAAAGTGACGGCATGTCTCAGGTGTTCACACATGTTCTTGTTTACCGTCTGTATTTTTGGAGTGGTAAAACAAATTATAGCCTTAAAGGTAGATCACTTAATTTTATGGTACGAAACGTGGCAGGTCTGCAAAACAGAATCTTCTTAACTGAATCCGCTATGCATTTCCTGAAAACAATGCGTTACCTCATACTTGTACGTACTTCGATTTCATAATGGCAAAACAAAACCTTTCTAGTTTTTTTGATATTCTTTTATAGTACAAGTTTTTGTCCGCAACGTTTAATATTCTAGGAAATCCCTTGGATCTCGACAAACTTCGGACTTTGCCAAATTCTGCGCCTATTTCCCTTCAATATACTGAACAGAAATTAACGTCCGTGTTAAAAGTCGGGTACAAATATGCTTAAGATCAATTAAAAGGCTTTTTATAACAAGTTACCTCTAGAAAAAGTGCTTTGATTAATTATTTTGGCGTCAAGTATCTGCGTGATTTACCAGTTTCGAAGGTAAAGTCAAAATAAAAATGGCAAAGTGTGATCGGCTTTTTGACTTCCCTCAGCACTATAAATAAATCTTACGCTGAAAATAAAAGAACGCACATTTCTGTGCATACTGGAGTTTTCAGTGCACAACGGAATGGCAGAATATATATATATATATATTGCTAATAGAAGCGAAAATCCGAGTCCCCGGGCATAAATGAGAAGAAGAGGTGATCATGGGAAACATATTTTTACTTTCCTGACGTTTCAAAAGCGTACAGGCTTTCATCATCAGAGGTGGTGGTTGTACTGCGCCTCACAGTATTTATAGTAGGTGACAGTCATGGTCAATAGGGTTTAAGCCAATGCAAAGAAAGGGGGGGCATATATATATGTATATATATTATGATTTTGTAAAATCTGCAAATCTTTTGCCAGTCCCGTTTAAAGTTTCCTATTAGTTCGTACTGAACTAAAGATAGGAAACTTTTGGACATTTCTTGCATAAGGCTTGACAGAGAAAAGTGACGGACCACGAGTATTCATCTATATGCTTGTTTGCGGTCGCTATTTTCGGTGTGGTCCGCAGCGTAGCATAGGAGATTGTCTGGATATCAAGAAACTTTTTTTAATTACCATATGAATGTAAAGGCCTGATGAGAATTATCGAAAACAAACGTATGTTCGCCATTTCATCTTCTGAAATATCAAGAAACGTTTAATTTGGCCGAATTGGGTCCAATTTTTTCTTCAATACACGCATCTGAACTGAATGCTTTTCTAGTAAACGGCAGTTTGCGCCTCCAGTCTATTCCATGAATAAACTAAACAATATTAAATGTGTGTTAAGCCATGCATTCAATTGTTGTTCACATTTTATGAGATAGTCCATCTACTGTAGTTCGCCGATATTTTACCGACGTATGACATGGCTGCGAGGGGTGTGGCTCATTGAGGTGTGTTTATGTAAACACTCTGGCTTTTTGGTCTCTTTCAGAATTAATGCGTTCACTCGGGCTAACTCATTTGGAAAAAAGGCCGATAGGTAGAGTTGGAAAGGTGGTAATGAATACTTGGGACGAATAAAATGATTTTATACATTTATATCAACTTTCAGACTGAGCTTATAAGGCTTCGCTTTTAACGATTTATCATCAGTTAACGCATTAAATTTGAAGGAAATTAAAAAAACTTAAAGTACATATTACTTTCCACCGAGCCTCCTATATTGGTGTCAGTATGACGTACTACGATGGAAAAGTGACGCATGAGTCACAGGAGAGCACTGTTTCGTGTGATAGAATCTAGACTTTTGTAAAAGACGAGATGACAGACGTTCAACTAACACAACCAATCATAATTTTATTCTTCTGAGTGAGTCCATCGTCAGAGATAAAAGCGTCAACGAAAAACAAGCATCATTTATAGGGGGCAGGGGCCAATCAACCGTTATGGGGGCGGGGGGCGGCGAGGGGAAGGAGGCAATTAACCACCAGTGCCGTCAGTCCGGAGATTCCTGCGCAACCAACCCGTACGATATGGCATGCGCTGCCATACATCAAGGACTTGTCGGAAGCGGCCGAACGCATTGCTGCGGGACTAGGCGTGGGAATTGCACACAGTCCCAAGGCTACCATATGCAGCCGGCTCATACGAATCAGGGATAGATTAAATTCCAGAGCAGTCAGACGTAGTGTATCGCATACAACGTGTGACATTCATCACGTCAATATCATATTCGGGTTTTACTTGTTATTAACTGTGCGTTAGGCATACGACTTGTCCGAGGCATGTGTCCTTAAGTCCGCTTAGTCATCCACCGTTGTTCCATGTCCTGGTCCCGCGTCCCGATCCCTTGACCGCCAAGGCTGCCTTCCCATTGGTTGACACGTTTCAGTCTATATTCCAGTGTCCTTGTTCACCTGCCCCACGGTCTTTGTTCCCTGCGCCGTGTCCTTATTCGCTCCCTCGTTCTTTAATTCCTGCCCGTTGTGCTTATGCCCTTATAAACTGGCAACAACGCGCCTGTGTCATTCACATTACTGCTCGTCTAAACACCTCGAATGTACGTCCACCCTCCCTTTGTTTTATACTTCGCTGCAATACGAAAAGAAATACTGCATTATTAACACTATGTCTAAACTGTGCCCGGAATTACACAGGAAAGATTGGGCGCATGCTTGGCTCGCGCATATACTAACATAAGCGAGCTGTAGGACGGGGTTACGTTGAATCATCGTAATTGGCTGCCCACACCTATGAGA